AATATCCATATGAGAAATTTGTTTATTCAGAGCAATTTCTAACTAAAATACCTTTTCTTATTATTTCTCATAATTTTGTGGTGTTTTTAAACTAGTGCAAAAAGTAATTCATTTTTTGCACTAGTGCAAAAAACACTTTCACTTTCAATTTCCCACGAATCGGGTATTTTCCCCCGAGTTGGCATCACTGCATAGAACTAATGGTGGTATAAAGGTGCGTCCAGATCTGACGAGACGAGAGCGAGACTTCTTCTATTCATTTTTTGACTGAAGTCTGCCACGAGACAAGCGAGTGGGATCATAGTGAAAGGAACCTAAACACAAATTAAATTGTAATTGAACATAACAAACGATGGCCAAATAATAACGCATACAGTAATAAATTTTTGTATCTTTAACATGGTATTTGGTTCGTATTCATCGTCGGTTTTTTCCCTTTTGGTTGTTTTCCCCTAACCTTTCATTTGTTTCGAAACACGACGTTTTTTACAAAATACGTTTTTAACGTTTTTTAGAACAAAATGTTAAATAGAAAAGTTATTGGGGAGGTTAAGAAGCACATTTTAAACTAATATAGTATACAGGGTACTTCAATACAGTGTTGCGGATATAACATATATAATGGGAATACCCAATTTTTTATTTTATTATTGGATTCTACGTACAATTCGGTAACTTTTTTTGCATATGATACATATAAAATTAATAGATTTTGTAATAATTCAATTTGTTTAAAGAAAATATAATGTTAGATATCGGTACAGTAAAATCCATTTAAAAAAATTGAGATTATTTAATTTTAAATAGTCGAAGTTCATAAATCAGAGCTAGTATCTCGCAATCGAGCGAGCTTACCAAAAACACGTCCAGACTGTGCCGCGTGATTTCTTTGATCGGCCGTCGCAAAACCGACAGTGGACGGATAGCAACGAGGCTCCGTGGGTTGTCTCGCAAGGCTCTCGCGAAACCCGTTCACGCTTAGCAAATTTGGAATGTCTCGCGCTAGTCTCGCTCTCGTCTCGTCAGGTCTGGACGCACCTTTATATAGATATCCAGCAATAAAACAAAATGGATTTAGGTTTTCTACGATTGTTAATTATTAATTGTTGCAGTATATTCAGATATTAGTATATTGTATTTACTAAGGCTTTTTAATAAGTGTAATTATAATTTTAGTTATTCTAAAAAATAATGTTTACTTCTAGACATTTTTTTAAACGTAGTAGCATGTATATGTAAATTAAAATAGTTGTCCTTTTAAGTCACTCACTCTTTTCGATAGGATATGACGAAGGACTAGAAGTCAATGAATAAAAAATATTCGTTATATAGTAAAGGATGTTATTTAGTGAAGTGACTCATGGATTTTGCTGGGCGTTCGCCCGACTGGCTGGCTGGCTGTTTTACGAATTACAATTTCGTTGTAACCTTTTCGAAATGCCATGTTATTCATTTGCACCTCAGAGTAATAAATACCATAAAACTTATATATTATTATGGTCTACCGTTTTATAACTTAGTTAATCCTGGATTGCTCGCTATACCCTTTCCGTAACGCGATGTTAGATTTTATCTAACATTAAAAAGTAAGTAAAAAATCAGGTTTTAAACTTTTTATTTCAAAAATTTTAGAGTTTTTTAAGTAAATTAATACAAAAAACTAATATTCAAATTTATTTAAGAAAACATATTAATAAGTTACAGATATTCGGTACTGGTATTGTTATTTTCCTGACCCAGTGGGATAGATAAGTTTGCAATGGAAAAATGCTTGTGTAAATACGGTAGTGTAAGTTCAGGGGGGGGGGGAGGATCCGCAATAAATGTTCTCGCAGTTATCTAAGCGGTATTACATTTTTGAATTATTTGGACATTTATAATTCACAAAAAATTACAATAAATAAACAACTTAGATTGACTTAAATTTTCTTTTACCTAACCAAAAACATAAATTAATGCCAATAAATTATAACAAAATACACAAAATGTCAAACTTGATTGGTCGCGTCGCTTAGATTTGATCTAACAAATCGGTCTACATCATCGGTCGCGTATTAGAAAAAAAACTAACATAGAGCGCCTATCCCAAACCATAATATCCGAGCTCAACGCGGAGCTCTCATACGCTAATACAGAGTCTCCTTCAGGCATTCCTAGAGAGAAAAGAATTTGCAACCAACATATCAGTTTTATAGCTAAAAACTATTTTTTTTTAAAAGTGCGACCGATCCCGGGTTAATAAGTATAAGTACACTTTTGCAAAAAATTAATCTTTTTGAAATTCTAAGATAATTTCGTGTTATTTCATATATTTTTTTATCTTTTCCCATAGAGGAATAATTCCTACCATCAGTTTATATTGTGCATAGTTTTTGCATGATTTATTTCAAACTTTTTTTAAGACAATTCACAAACAAGTGGTAAAATATTAAAAATGCAAAGTTAATTCTCAGTATTTCTAAAGCACATCTTGCGTTTGCTTTGTGTTTCTTTTCTACATCTTCATTAATTCTAATTATTATGGAACGTCCAAGCCGAAATAACTCGCGAATAATGCACCCAAGCCATGGTATTGTCGAAAAAGGGCTGGAGCTTCCAAAGAATTGGTCGTCGATTCAATATTAATTATACAACCATTTCACGGGTAGTACAAAGATTCTTAGAAACGGGAAATAATTATCGTAGGTCAGGACAAGGTTGAAATGGCATTACAATACCAAATCAAGATAGATTTTTAAGAATTCTGGCGTTTTGTCCCATTCAGATTCAACTGCGTGGGGTCCATGGCCTGCAAATTACTGCTGAAACAGTTCGATTACGATTAAGATAATCTGATTTGAAAGACCAAGAATTGCTACTCGAGGTCCAGCTTTAACCATAGATCACCGACGAGAAAGTTTATGTTTTGACTACTGATTGAGAATGTGTGCTATTTATAGATGAGTTCTTCTGGCTGTACAATAATGATAGACGTATTCATGTTTTTCGATGACCCAATTAAACGTTATTAACTTCTCACAAACATTATTTGGAGGAGGATCTGTTATGGTTTGGGGAGAAATTTCTTTGACGGCGCGTACGGATTTAGTGGTCATAAAAAATATAAGTTTAAGAGCTGAGCGGTATATAGAAGACATCCTACGACATGTAATACATTTCGCACCTTATATCGGTAAAAATATGTTGTTAATGCAAGATATCGCCAGACCGTACGTAGCACGAGTTGTTAGAAGTTATGTAGTTGACGAAAATATGAAATTTTATGTTAGTATCACAAATTATATTTGATAATAATATTCATAAAAAAATTATAAATTCTAAATTAGTTATCGTTCGGGCTTATTTTTGATTGATGCCCTCTAACAGTCAAACGAAACACTTTGTATTTTGTATATTTAATATATTATATTATATATTATTTAATACGTAGTAGTTCTACGTCACCGGAATGGGAAACCTTGTATATCGTATCACTGACTCTCCTATCTTGACTGATTATACTCTGGATTCTAGGTACTACTGATTAGTACTGATGATACAGTTATGCTCGGATATGGCCGCATCTTTAAATGTTATTAAATACCCGTTTTTATTTTATTATTCTCGAATTCACTGGCGCTCTGGTTCGTTGTAGGATCGACAATGCACTTGTAACATTTTCGTAATACTATTGATTATTAATAATGGCACAAAGGAGAGATGATTAGTCTTAAAAATCCACACCAATGTTTCTTTGTTAGTTGTGTAATATTAGTATTTAGTATTTTAAATAAAGCAGTTATGTCGAACTTTCATTGTCTTTATTTTTACTGAATTATATAACTACGACGTTTCTGATTTGATATTTCATTCTCATCTCTCAAGAAGAACAATCAGAAAATGTATACTTCTTTATATTAGAAAATATGCATTGATGTTGAAAAATATTTAATTTTTTCCTTCTGCAAATGTCATGTTTGACAAAAAAATTGGAATTGTTTCAAAAACAGCCAGTCCATTTTTAGGGTTCCGTACCCAAACGGTAAAAACGGGAACCCTATTACCACAGTTTAAAGAATATAAATATATTTATATATTTTAACACAGTTTAAAGAATATAAATATATTTATATTCTTTAAACTGTGCTATTACTACGACTTCGCTGTCCGTCCGTCCGTCCGTCTGTCACAAAGGTCTATCTTATGAACTGTTATAGCTAGACAGTTGTATTTTTTACAGATAATGTATCTACATATGTTGCCGCTATAAGAACAAATACCTCGACAAATACTAAAAACAGAATTAAATAAATGTTTGTAAATAAAAAAGTACTTTCACTAAACATTATCTTTTAAGTAAGAATTCGGTGGCCGCGTGGTTAAATCGTTAGGACTTTACGCTGCTATGACGTTGGACCGTAGTAAGGCAGGTTCGAATCCTAGTCAAGGCGACTTTTTTTAATCGTTTTTTTTTTTATTTTTACATATTTTTACATACATAATTTATTATTGATTAATACAATTTTTAGTAATGTGTTTCTTCATTTTTTTTTAATTACTTATACGCGCATTCAAAATTTTAGCTAAATCGGAAAAAAAAGTTTATAATAATATAGTGTTTAATGTTGTATAGATAATGAATACGGAACCCTTCGTGCGCGTGTCCGACTCGCACTTGACCAATTTTTCATTCCATGTTTCATGCTTTAGACTAGATGTCTAGTCTGTACTCTTTTTGGTACAGATTCTTCTAAAACAATTGTCAGAAATAAATAAGATAAAAATAAAACTTGTTCTTGAGTACGTTGTAAACTAAATGTTTTTGTTCAGTAAATAATATATTTTCTAATATGCAATATTATAACATTTTTAATTTATTATTTTTTTGGTAAAGATATATTTTTACTTCTATTAAAGGTTCTTCGCATTCTGACAGCTACATGTTATTTAAATTTTAGTGTTTTAACATAATATTATAATTTTATTAGACAAATTACTAAAAAACCTGTTTTTCTTTTCAGAACGGTGAACATGTGGATTATCTGGAAATCACGTTGGAAATTGATGGAGAAAACTTAATATTAGACTTGACCCTCAATAAACAGCTTATTCCAAAGGGATTTTTCCACAGGTATCAGACGAATGGAAAAAATGTCGTTCACAAACCCGCGAAAGAAGTAAGTTTTTAGTTTAATTTTACCAGAGTTCTATGCAAAATGAAATTATAACTTCTTGGAGAGATTAGTTTTAATGAAAAGTTGTACTTAAAAGCCAAAATAACTTAATTTTGGAACTGATAATATCATGCCAATATCGGCCTGTTCCACTGCGACGTTTTCAGATCTGTTGTGGTCCTTTTCTGGTCCCTAGGTTATTTTCTTCAATCCTATCAAAAAGGCCAATAACTTGGAGACGGAACCCTCCATATAACTCTTTATCAATGGCGTATCATTGCCTAATATCCGCTGTCGCAGTGGCGTAATTTTTGTTATTCCGTTTTGTTATTTCTTCTTCAGATTAATAAAATCTGTATAAATATGGTTTCTTCCGTAAATCCCAGCAGTTTTAGATACCGAAACTTACAATGTGATAACACCATCTTGTAGAACAAAAAAAGTAGCAAAAAGAATTTGAAATTTATTTCGTTATATCTATTTAAATAGAGTCATAGAAAAACTGAAATCGCGAACATTCGTTTTTGTCCATGAATCTTCGGAAGTATTCGGAATTTTTAAACTTAACAAAGAAGGTGCAATTTTGACCAGCATTAAAATGCACAACTTTACCTCTATTTAACGGACCTCGTATCTTTTCCGGTTTTCGGGATCACAATAATCAAGTTCCAATTTGGGACACCCTGTACAGTGTTTCGGAAGTTTTAACTCAGTGGAATTCGTTTTGATTTATGTTTCTTTATTGACCTGTCATATTTTAAAATATTTGAAGGATTTAACAGATTTGACCCGTTACTTCGTGACTCTATTCAATAATATTTCAATTATCTTTTCAGGAGATTGACCATTGTCATTACAACGGTAAAGTCAGAGGCAAACCGGATTCCTGGGTGGCGATATCGACGTGCGACGGCTTATCTGGAGTGGTCTTCGACGGAAAAGAAATGCATTATGTCGAAAAAGATAACCGAGTCGATCAGGGTTTCGACGCTTTGCAATCGGATCACTTTGTTTACAGACACTCTGACGTTGTGGAACAGAACAAGACGTGTGGTTACGCCGGCGACGCTAGAAATCCGGAAAAGCAGCATACGACCACTGATAATCGATTTCATAGAGTAAGTTAGAAAATAGATAAATCATTTAGCCCAGTCAAATTAGAGAAATCGGTGGAAAAAATCCCACAGTTTTGAAAATGGTTTTAAATGATATCTCTGGACTTCGCCTGATATGTGTCAAAAGTCCCCGAAAATAGACGATGAGCTCGGATAGAGGGGAGGGGTTAAATGTCATTTTTATGACTTTTTAACTTGTATCTCGGAAAATATGACACCTACAGAAAATTGAAGCTCAAAAAATTCTCTACAAAATTAGTTGAATTCGTTTTTTTCATAGGTCTTACTTTTAAGGGTTACAGGGTTGACAAAATTAACACTATTTCTTATGTTGTATTTTCGCATTTAAAATCCAGTTAAAGTCTAAATTTAACCTTTCATATTAATAATGGTAATATTAAGGGGTCCTTGTGTTAACTTTCAAGTCTTCATTCCATCGTGACTTTTTGTCATCCGTTGGAGAGCACTAGTGCACACAGAACTTAACGATAACTGCAAGTTGAAGATTAATGCATGCCTGCTTTACGGTAAACAAATATACCACAGCATTTAGCGCAGCTGCAAATAGTGTAGAAAGTATACGAAAACCAAAAATCATGGTTTATGATTAAAATTATAATTTTTCATCAAGATACCATGAATATATACAATTATACAAGATTGATGAAAAATGTGTTTCAAGAATTAATTTAATAATAATTATTATAATCATCTTTATACGAATTTGCGCAAGTGTGGCATATTTTCGTAATCAGAAAAAAAGTATTTTTAAATATTTAATGATATATAGGGTGTACCATTTATAAAAAATAAGTTATGTCAATAATTTTAACATTTTACAGTTTATACAATTTTTAACTCAACGGCCAAAAACTTAGCGAAATACACTACAATTTTTTTTTACTCGACCTTTTAACTCAAAAAATAAATATTTGGCAGCCTTTCAAAAGTAGGACAAATTAAAATGAAAGCAAGGTAGAAGAATGGTTTTTCTCTACAAAATAAAACACGAATTTACCACAATACACAAAAACTCTTTTTACTTTTACACTGGACGCGCGTTTCGCTAACCATGTTAGCATCATCAGCAGATGATTAAAAACTAAAATACAATCTACAATTTGAGTGTTTATATACTCACTCAGTGGGTACCGAGTGGGCGTGGCAAGATCTAGCCAACCGAGTCAGAGCCCACCAAGCGTAACAGTTAGATTTCCGCTACTAGAGTAGTAGGAACAAAGAACTTGAAGGAATTGGGCCGTTGTCTCTGTTCATACTATCTTTACATTTATTAATTCTGATGCTTTCATATGCATCTAATTGCCTGTAATTTGAGACTTGTTTAATTAATTTTAAATTATTAAGATCTATACAATGTTCTTTATAAACAATATGTTCGGCAACGCAAGATTTATCCGGTCTACCATATCTTATCTGAGCTAAATATTCTTTAAATCTAGTTAATATTGATCTTCTAGTTTGCCCAACATATTTCTGATTACAATCTTTACAAGAAACTTCCTTTGGATTACCTAGTAATTGTTGTAATTTATTATTAGCACTATACACAAGTTTATAATTGACATTCTTAAAAATTCCTTTTAGACCACGGGATAACTCTCCATCAAACGGTATTGAAAAATATTCTGACGTATCTTTCTCCACTTGAAAAGTCGAATTTTCAGAAATCATTAACCTATATCTACGTTTTCTAATTATTTTATCAACTAGTGAAGGAACATATCCATTACACTTAGCTACATTCCTAATGTAATCTCTTTCTATTTCATATCTTTCGTTGGAAAGTGGAAAACTAAGTAATCTGTGAACTAAGAAATTTAAACTAGCCATTTTATGTTCGACACTATGATATGATTCATTAGGAATATATCTGCGTGTAGTCGTATTTTTCCTATAAATATCAAATTCCAGGCAATTATTAGTATTTCTAATATATACATCTTTCTAATATATAAAACATCTAGAAATGGTAATCTGTCGTGGTTCTCAATTTCATGTGTAAATTTAATGGAAGGAAAACGATTATTTAACTTAGAAATAAAATTATCTATGGTGTCTGAATGTGTATCAAAAACAGCAAAAATATCATCCACATACCTAAACCATACTCTTGGAAAATACTCAAACTAATTCTTAGCCTTCACTTCAAACCTGCTCATGAGTAAATTAGCCAAAAATGAAGACAATGGATTACCAATTGCTGTACCTTCCCGTTGTTCAAAAAAATTGTTATTAAATTGAAAACAATTTTGTTTCATACATAACGATGTAAGTTCAATGTATTCATTCACAGTTTTGTTGTCGAGATCATTTGCGTTTAGTTATTCCTGCAAGTAGCCTGCAACAACGAAGATACATCAAAGGAGACCAAAATTTCACCTTCATGCAATGTTGTATTTTTAATTTTGTTAATAAATTCAATATTATTTTTAACTGAGAAAGAGGGTTCATGATTAGGTAAATTTTCGAACTCCCTTGATAACCATTTTGCCAAATTATAAATCGGAGAACTTACAGCCGAAACAATTGGGCGCATAGACTTATCCGGCTTATGAATTTTTGCAACGCATACAATTTTGGTAATGAGGGATTGGATACTTGCATTCATTTGAAGTGGAGGCTAAGAATCAGTTTGAGTATTTTCCAAGAGTATGGTTTAGGTATGTGGATGATATTTTTGCTGTTTTTGATACACATTCAGACACCATAAATAATTTTATTTCTAAGTTAAATAATCGTTTTCCTTCCATTAAATTTACACATGAAATTGAGAACCACGACAGATTACCATTTCTAGATGTTTTATATATTAGAAAGATGTATATATTAGAAATACTAATAATTGCCTGGAATTTGATATTTATAGGAAAAATACGACTACACGCAGATATATTCCTAATGAATCATATCATAGTGTCGAACATAAAATGGGATAAATCTTGCATTGCCGAACATATTGTTGATAAAGAATATTGTATAGATCTTAATAATTTAAAATTAATTAAACAAGTCTCAAATTACAGGCAATTAGATGCATATGAAAGCATCAGAATTAATAAATGTAAAGATAGTATGAACAGATACAACGGTCCAATTCCTTCAAGTTCTTTGTTCCTACTACTCTAGTACCGGAAATCTAACTGTTACGCTTGGTGGGGTCTGACTCGGTTGGCTAGATCTTGCCACGCCCACTCGGTGCCTACTGAGTGAGTATATAAACGCTCAAATTGTATTTTAGTTTTTAATCATCTGCTGATGATGCTAACATGGTTAGCGAAACGCGCGTCCAGTGTAAAAGTAAAAAGTGTTTTGGTGTATTGTGGTAAATTCGTGTTTTATTTTGATGTGTAACACCAAAGGTTCCAACCCTCAACTGTAATAATGGTTTTTCTCTGTTATAAAAGCACCTGAGCTGTATTGTTATTGATCGTCACAACATAATTGTGCGGAAGAAAAGAAACTAAATCTAACAATTAATTGTTATCAAAATAGAACTAACTACCATAAATAGGACCGGTTTTGTCCATATGAACCTTTGAACTGTTAGTAATCACATTACATTTATTTATTGTGATGGTATCATAAATACCTAATTGCATTAAAGTGTTTAATTGCACTTAATATAGTTTAATGTATATTTTCAATTTCACATAACCAGAAAAAATTAGGTAGCAACGTATATCGGGTGGTGACATCGTCGTTGAAAACATAGGAAATCCCATGCAAATTTTGTACTTTTCAAATATTGGCTCCCTTATTAATTTGACAGCTAATTCGTAAATAGGTTTTTTAAAGGTTTGCGTATGCTGAATACACATGTCAAATTTGAACAATTTTGGACAAGCCGATTTTAAGTAATTTATGAAAAACTGCATCTATTTTTATATTAAATCTGAACAGGTAACAATGCAAAACCAGTCAATGTCAACATATCTTAAGTTGTCAACCTATTATTAAATCATTATCAAATGTAATTTGTTGTGCTGTCTGCACTACTACATTATAGGACCTACGCAGTGGCGTGCAGTACCATTTACAGTAGGGTAGGCAACAGAATAAAAAAATATGAAAAAACTAAGAAAAAAACTATGTATTACATAATATTTATGTACAATGTACATATATAAAATTTACTCTGTCTAACGTATTTTAACTTTAAACTCAAACAAAAGAAAATTCAAATAACAGCAAATAAATCTAGTTATTTATAGATGCAAAACGAATAATCTGTCTATCATTCAATCATTATTTCTTCCCGATAGGCACTGGCGAATTATTTCTTCCCGATAACGACTGGCGAATTAGCTAAAACAATAACCGTATACAATATTGCCAGATTGCCAATTGTCACTGCCTAAAAAATGATTTTACAGTCAAATAAAATAATAGATGGAATCGTTTGGAAACAAATACAGATGACGAGACAAGTAAATTTCTAATTTGCTGCATAATACAATCTTTCTAAAACACAGTTATTTAAAATTGATCGTATGAAATAACATGGACTGTTTCTTACATAGTTCTGTAATAACATCGGAACTGGCGATACCGCATCGGCGGCATCGAGACATTGGGTGCATCCGTGCTGTGGTAACGCACTGCTTTTGCTTGTCCATATCTATGTAATGTTAAGTTGCGGCCGTGCGTTCGATTTCGAATAATGGGATGCGTTTTTTAGGTAATAATAAGACGTTGAACAGGTGGCGTTTGTTTTGTATGATGTTTCCGGCTTTGCAACCGTATTAAAGACAATACTAACTTACTATTTAGAAAAATAAAACAATGTAAGTCGCATTGTAGGATTTGTAGGTAGATATATAATGAAAATTGATCAGATAAATATATTTTTATTTTGCGTCTGTCTTGAATAAATGGAAGGGTAGGCAATGCTTTTTTGCCTATATGTAATGCACGCCACTGGACCTACGTGTGTTCCCGAAATGTATTTTTGTAATTTTAAACTGGTTCGAATGAGGCAAATG